GTCTCTTATTATCATAGCTACAAATATTTATTAAATTACTCGGATGGCAAGTTACCAGTGCCGGCGCCAGGTTATTTAGCGCCCTAGGCAAAACTTATTAAAACGCCCCTTTCACACAAATTAATTATTAAAACATATGTATTAGAAAACAACTAATTAAAAGCGACATATTAATTTTTTATAAATTGCATAAACGTTATAAGTAGACATTAAAATCAAATTTTACTAGCTTCCTTAGTCTCAAAAGTTTGTACTAATTCATTCAATTCCAGTTTGCAAGCGAAATCACATTTTATTGAAATTGTTGCTAAGTCCACGAGGCTACTTTGTACTTTACGACATTGTCCCCTCCCCCCTAGAAAATTTTAAGTTCCCCCCCCCCTCTCTCTCTCTCTCTCGGGAGAAAAAAGTCTGGGGAAAAAAACACTGAAAAAAAAAGTTCTTGTAGTGTGGCGCTCTCCCATTTGGAAATCCAAATACCAAAATTTAATTCAAGGGAAATAACTTTCACAAGAATAGCTAAATTAACCAAGTGTAACTAAGACATGCGTGAAAAACACAATTAAAAGTTCTAAATTTCTATACGTAATAACTATAAAAAATCTTTTGTATTAGCTATGTAACCTTGTAAAAGCAATATATTTTACCTATTGAATACTTAACTGTAGGCTTTGTTTGAAAGTCTAAACAATGGTAGCTTTATTTTAACATACTTTTAACATAAATTTTGATGACATACTGTTTATTTAATTGCTTAGTTTTCGCCACATTGTAAATATTTTGGATCCCCTAAATAAAGGGACGTCTTTCAAAAGATCAAACACGAGTATATGTTTTAGACATCGCTAGAATTATTGATTAAATATGTGAAAAAATTATAATTTGAAAAAACAAAGTCAACAGTTAGTTATAAATTCCATCCTATTTAATATTAATACATTAAGAGTGGTAATTTAGATTCCTAAAAAATAAAGATTTTTCAATTAGAGAACGCCTACAATATACATTTCTTTGTAGTGTGTTCCGTACTTAATTGAAATCATCTAACTTACTTGATATACTCTACTACATTTACAACACATATCAAACTTCGATACCTAAACATAACTAGACTCGATGCTCCAGAACTACGACACCAACTCGTTGAACTTCACCAAGCTCTACAAATGGTACTCCAACTCAACGATTTCACATGACCTACTACCAGGGGCGTAGCGAGGTAGGGGGGGGGGGCGGGGGGTGCGGACCGCACCGGGTGACATCATTTAGGGGGGTGACACCAAGGCAAAAAATAGCAAAATATATAGAGAAAAACTCGAGGGGGGTGCAAATCGAAAGTTTGAGGGGGGGGGGGGGTGCAAATCGAAAGTTTCAGAGGGGTGCAAATCGAAAATTTGAAGGGTCTCTATGCCTCTGGGGGGTGACACCATTAAGTGCCGCACCGGGTGACACCCGACCTCGCTACGCCACTGCCTACTACTACACTTTAAACAGTCAATATAATTCGATACCTTAATACCACAAAAATCAATACTCGCGAACTCCAGAACTACGATACTTCATCGCCTGCATTCTCATTTCTCTATTACCAATCAGATTCCACTAGATCTTAAACTACAAAAAAGCCGAATGAAAATAATGACACTTTAACACTTCGATACTTTATATCTACCAAACCATATCAGCAACAGCCTTCCGCCGTTACTCCCAAATCTAACCGAATCATCAAAATTTACCAAACAAGTACAATGCTATGATTATCCCGTCAATGCAAAACTTTATACACCAGGACAGATTTCTAATTCAAAATCAGAGAAAACGAGACTTACAAGCCCTATTAAAATTAGATAACCGTTTGAAATGTTCGAAATCTTTTTGCACCCCCCCCCCCTCTAGAGATGGCGCCCTATGCGACCGCCTAGTTCGCCTTATAGTATAGGTCAGGGGTCGGCAACCTGCGGCTCGCGAGCCGCATGTGGCTCTTTTGATATCAAGATGCGGCTCTCCAGCTCCTTGAACAAATACTAATAATCTTAATAAAAAAATAAAATATTTGAAATAAAAAAAATGTTAGTGGCTCTTTAAAACCAGGGAAATTTTTGAAAATTGTAACTTTTGGCTCTTCCGCTTCAAAAGGTTGCCGACCCCTGGTATAGGTAGAGCCGGCCCTGCCAGTTACATATAAAATCTAGAACACTTGTATATAAAGAATTGCCACCTCGAATGTTAAACATAAAGCTAAACGTACCTCGTCAATCGAGAATACTTGTATGTTAAGTACTGCCTTAACTAAAGTAATTACTAAACTCAAGTGCTAAACTTACGTAATAAATCAAGAATAAAGATTGATTTGATGGTGCAGGGATAACGTAAATTATTAATCCTGACGTGAATAAAATAGCAAACTCACCAAGTCACTTCAACTGATTAGCATTATATACGCCCTTAGTCAATCCGGATTTTTCTGTAATTCCTGGCCAAATCTTTACATAACAATACACGTGATCGGAATGAAATCAAGAAAAGATAACTTACAACGACAAAAGTGTTGTTTTTTTAACAGATTTCTTATCATATGACATAAATGCACTAAAGGGAAAAATAATGCAAAGGCGTTTTTCCAATCCGATTGGCGGAATTTTGGGTAGTAACCGTGACAGTTTATTTTTTTTGCTGTTGTTGCTTTTAGATTCTCGAGAGAATAAAAGTTTATAAGTAGCAGTTTCTTCCCTCCCCCCCCCCTCCTCACCCCCACCCGAACGAAATAGAATGTATATAGAAAATACAAACCTTTACCAATGTCCATCCCAGAGGCGTAGCGACCCTTCCCGGCGCCCGGGGACAAGCTTTTCGATTTGCACCCCCCCTCAAGATTTTGATTTGCACCCCCCCCCCTCAAACTTTCGATTTGCACCCCCCCCCCCTCAAGATTTTTATTTGCACCCCCCTGAACCTTTCAATTTACTTTTCCAACCCATTTTGGCGCCCCCTAAGGTCGGCGCCCGGGGACATATGTCCCCCCCCCGCCCCCCCCCCCCTAGCTACGCTACTGGTCCATCCACCATCCCCCACCCAAACTATACTCCACCCCTTCCCCGAAAATTTCCATTAACCCCCTCCCTAATCAGAGAAAAAAAAGTCTGGAAGAAACACTGATAACTAAACAAGTAGATCGATCAGAAGTGTTGATTTTGTTTTTATCTCTCCGTGTTTTCATCTTTTAAATCGTAGCTTTTATAAAAGAATTCTATTTTCGTCCGACGGTTTTCGCAATCTACTCGCGATTTACCGCCTCGATTTTCGCATTTCGCATTTTACTGCCAGCCGCATGGTGCAGGCAGAGATACGTGAAGGGCCGGGGTTAAAGTATTAATGCACTACGTGGATTGGCAAAAGGCACTAAAACACTGTTAATATACAGTTAGGCTGGATCAATGTTGCGACATAGCACACAAATTTAGTTCGCAATCTTCTCCTCTGTGAACAGCGTTTGTTGAAGCGAATTATTAGTATGACGATGATTATTTGTTGGTTTGTTTGTTTGTTGTTTGTTTTGTATGTATGTGTATGTGTATGCATCGCAGGACCCCTTGCAAAATCGATGCTTGTTATGATTTCCCTATTTCCCTATTTCCCTATTCCCCCCCCCCCCCCCTCCCCCACCACCACCATGCCATTTCTGATTTCATTACCTATTTTAGTATGACGTCATAGAGTAAGATAATAACTTGGAGCTATGGGATTCATCATCACGTTTTCCTTGACATGTGGCAGATAAGGAAGAGTTCCTTCCATGGGTCAATGACCGCAGCATATAAAGGGATAGTGTGACCAGTACTGTGCAGAGGCGCAGCGTAGCGACCTTCCCGGTGCCCGGGGACAAACTTTCGATTTGCAACCCCCCTCCCCCCGTTGAACTTACGATTTGTACCCCCCCCCCCCCCTCTCAAACTTTCAATTTGTATTTCCAACCCATTTTGGCGCTCCCTAAGTTCGGCGCCCGGGGACATATGCCCCCCGTCCCCCCCCCCCCCCCTCGCTACGCCTCTGGTACTGTGCCCGAAGAGATGCCTGAAAAAACTTACCTTATGTGTCAGTCAGAGCTATGGAATACACAATACATTTTTACTCTTTGAAAGAATCGTATTAAAATGTTATTGTTACAGTGGGTAGGCCTACCTCTTCCAGAGTATGAATGGAGTCGTTAAATCATTTCATAAAACATGTATCCTTGTGCTAACCATTGATTCCTGACATCATAGAAGCAGAGTTTCTTCCAGGCATCTCGAAAAAAGTCTCCCCCCCCCCCCCCCCCACTTCGAAAGAAATGGAATTTATATAGAAAATATATACTTTTAACAGTGTCGTCCCCCCCCCCCCCCCGAAAATTTTAGTCTGCCCCCCTTTTTCCCCCCCCCCCCCCCACCTCCCGGAGAAAAAAGTCTGGAAGAAACACTGCATTGAAGTTAATAATGTAATCTTAGTCTTAATGTCCAAAGATATCAAAGAAAAAAGTAATATTTTAAGAAAACTATACCTTTATCTATTTATATTTTATGCATGAAATTCACTATGGAAAATACTAAGCTTGTTGGTTGTTTTTTTCTTTTTCAAACATGTGTGTATTTCCCATTATCGTTCCTTGTCTGCGTGTTTAGTTTTAAGCCAAACTTTGTCGTGAAGAAAATGTATCAAAAGACAAGAATAACGGACGTCTCCTGTTTTAAGCCAACACAAAATCAAGGCAGAAAAAAAAATTCAATCAAATCATGAACGAACTAAAACCTACTGTAATTAAATATTAATTTGGGACCGAAAAATTACCCACACTTATTTAGTATCACAAAAAAATAATTTCTAATTCTAATTGAAAAACAAGTCATGACCTAGTTTCGTTATCAAACTTTGGTGCACAGATACTTAACACAGACGAAACACAAAAACAATAAACGTGTGGTTTTTTTTTTAAATTTTAAACATTTGTTTCTCTTGCTACTGTT